TCAAGTAGTTAGTTAGAGAGTAGAAAATATTTTTTAATATAATAATTTTTTATGTTACTCTCCTCACACCCCTTCCCCAAAAAATATTTGAACCGAGAAAATCATATACTACTAATTAGTTTGATTTCTTTTTAAATAAATATCAAATCAAATCTAACAAACACCTCAGCTTATAATCTCTTCATTTTAATTTATGTGAACTTTTTCTTTTTAGTCCGTGCGCAAAAAATAATCTTTTTCTATATTTGAATATAATTTATCTTTATGTAATAGTTTATAATCATATAAAATATATGTATCTTATTTTATATCACAAGTTCAAAAGTCTTATTTGTAAATCAACGGTCAAATATGTTTATATAAATTGAATTTTTTTTCTCATAATATAGTAATAACTAGTAAATTTGTCCGCGCTTCGCGCTGTCATAAATGATCCAAATAATCTTTTGCTAATGTCTAAATATTAGAAATACATATAAGTCATCAAATCTAAATTAGATATAAGTTTTAATTGATTTTAGCATTATCATATAATTTTATATAATTGTGATTGGGGTTTATTATCATTCGGAGATAATTGATCCTTATTTTAATAATATATATATAGGTGAAACTATACCCTTTTTCGTCTTTTACCTTTTCATCTTCTTCTTCATTGTTTTTTCTTTTTTTACTTCCTTACACATTCACTTTACAAAATATATTGTCAAATACCAATAAATTAAACTCAAATATATATAATTACAAGAAGTAGTCCAAAAAAGTTCGCTACTGATATTGTCTAGTCTCAGCATATCCAATCTCACATGAGTACATGAAAATTTTGGATTGTAGCTCGCTGATAATATCTTATACGTTACCTAAATATCATTCTTTTGTGCTCGAAAATATACAACGTTAATGTTGTAAAAGAATGCAAAAAAGAAGAAGGATAACAATTATACAATTCATATTGAGAAAATAAGGAAAATAATTCAAACGAAGCAAGTAGAATTCCACCATGAAATCGAAATGTCACAAAAAATATTTTCTTTTTTCTAATGAAGAGATATTAAAAGCTAAAGTATATTATTAGTGCAAAGGAGAACCATTCGAGCTATAATAGAGTCTGAATGGTACGTCCATATTGAGAGCAGATACTAAAGTTCGGGGGAGACATAAGATGTATGTTGGCCTTCAGAAGGAGCTAAGAGCATGCCATACTTTGCAGGGAGTCTGCTACACCATTTGTCTCGCGATAGACATGGTCAATGTTTGCGTTTCTGTAACGACCCGGCCGGTCGTTTTGAGTATTACAACTCTGTTTCCTCATTTACTGCTCAATTTATGCTTTACAGTTGTTATGTGACTCGCTGGGGTGATTGGTTCGGGTCCGGTGAGGTTTTGGAATGAATGGGAACACTTAGTTCCAAGGTTTAAAGCTTAAGTTAAAATAGTGATCGGACATCGACTTATGTGTAAACGACCCCGGAATAGAGTTTTGATGATTCCAATAGTTTCGTATGATGATTTTGGACTAAGAAGCGTGTCCGGAAAATTATTTGGAAGTCCGTAGTTAAATTAGGCTTGAAATGACTAAAATAGAAATTTAAGTTTGGGAGTTTGACCAGGGAGTTGACTTTTTGATATCAGAGTCGGAATCCAATTTGAAAATTTTTCATAACTCCGTTATGTCATTTATGACTTGTGTGCAAAATTTGAGGTCAATCGGAATTGAATTGATAGGTTTCGGCATCGAATGTAGAAGTTGGAATTCGTTAGTTTTTGTTAAGCTTGAATTGGGGTGTGATTTATAATTTTAGCATTATTTAATATGATTTGAGATTTCGACTAAGTTCGTATGATATTTTAGGACTTGTTGGTGTATTTGGTTGAGGGCCTCGTGTGAGTTTCGGATGGTTCACGAATCGAAATTTTGACTTAATCAGCTGCTAGAAATTTCTGATGCCTCTATCTGGTTTCCTTCATCGCGTTCGCGAGGGGAGTCTCGCGTTCGCGAAGAGAAAAATTAGACTGGCCCGTTTTGTGCTTCGTGTTGGCGACCGGAGGCACGCGTTCGCGAAGGGTCGAAGGGAAAAACTTCGCGTTCGCGAAGGGCCGAGGGGTAAGGCGGTCGAGGCCTCACGTTCGTGAAAGGGAAAGCCGGCCTGGGGAAAATTGGTCTTCGCGTTCGCGAGACCAGGCTCGTGTTCACGAAGGAGGAAATCCGGGCAGCACAAAAATGTGCTTCGCAAATACGAGGGACCTGTCGCGTTCGCGAAATAGAAAGGCCTGGGCAAAATGTTTAAGATCTGTTTTTGACGAATTGGAGCTCGGGAAGAGGCGATTTTCGGGAGATTTTCGAGAAAAATAACGGGGTAAGTGTTCTTAACTCGGTATTGATCAAATTACCCGAATCCATTGTTGTTTTTGACATTTAATCGGTGAATTAAGTTGGAAAATTTAGAAAATGCTCTTGGTTTAATTTGAAGATTTGAGGGTCGAGTTGATGTCGGAATTTGGTAAAATTTATATGGTTGGACTCGTTGTTGAATGGGCTTTCTGATTTTGTAACTTTTGTCAGGTTCCGAGATATGGACCCCACGAACGATTTTTGGGTGCAATTTCTGATTTTTGTTGGATAATTAGTATTTTCATATGGAATTAATTCCTATAATTTGTATTGACTGAGTCGAATTATTTGTGGCGAGATTCGAGGTATTTAGAGGCCGATTCGCGAGGCAAAGGCATCGCAGAATAATGAATTTCACGGTTTGAGGTAAGTAACAGTTCTAAATTTGCTCCTGAGGGTATGAAATCCCGGATTATGTATTATATGATTGGTTTTGAGGTGACGCACATGCTAGGTGATGAGCGTGTGGGCGTGCACCGTAGAAATTGTGACTTGATAAATTTCATAAAATTGTGTAGTTGAATAATCTGTTGAAATCCATACATTTTCTACGTATTAGAGAAATCGAACTATAAATCATGTTTAAACCATGTGTTGACACTGTAGGGACCCACAAAGGTCATGTACATGTTAAATTAATTGCTAAATTATTGTTTCATACTCAATCGCGATTTTTACTCGCATATTACATCTTAGTCTCTCTTATTCATTATTGATGCATCATATCATTGTTGTTGGGCTGCTTATCATGATTTCTAAGAGCCCGAAAAACTGGAGAGGTTGATGATTGAGTGAGGCCGAGGGCCTAATTATGAGGATATTTATGAGATCGGGCTGCACGCCACAACATGTTTCATTGATTTATGCCATGATTAGGTTGTTATAGCGATTGGGCTGAAGGAGCCCCTCCGGAGTCTGTACATACCCTCACTGAACGCAGGTTCCTACTGAGTGCGAGTGCTGAGTGATTGAGAGGAATGAGTGACTGTGAGGAAAGAGTGGCTATGAGGTTGGAGTGAATGAGAGGACTAAGTGACTGTTACTCTGAGAGGATGCATTGATTTCATTATTGTTGCATTTCAGCTGTCATGTATCACTGTTTTGGAAATTTTTGAAAGACATTATCTTTTGTTTCAGTCGAAGTTGATATGAAATTACTGTAAAATTTTAAATGTTGAAATTAAGAACATGCCTACCCTTTTTATGTTGAAAATTACCGTATTTGGACTTAACTGTGAAGCTCGTCACTACTTTCAGTTCTTTTTTATAATTGTTACTTACTGAGTTGGTTGTACTCATACTACACCATGCACTTCGTGTGCAGATCCAGGTGATCCCGGACACAGTGGGTGTTGATTCCTTCGCACAGTAGATTTTTCGGAGATTCCGAGGTAGCTACCGTGTTTTCACAGACCTTGTCTCTCCTTCCCTATCTTCTTGTTTACTGTATTTGGTCTCAGACTATTATAGACCGTATTTTTCAGACTTGTGATGTATAGATACTTATGTACTCAGTAACACCAGATTTTGAGAGTGTATTTATATCCAGTATTTGTTGGATTTTCTCTTAAACTTAAATATTATGTTTTCCGTATTTAAAAGAAATTGTGAGTTATTGATATTGTTGGCTTGCCTAGTATTGAGATTGACGTAATCATGACAGGTGAGATTTCGGATCGTGATAGTTCCTAGTTGGCAGAATAAGGTCTTGCAATTAAAAAGAACGTGTGAGTATAACTCATCCCCGTCATGTATCACCAAATAGAATTGGTGAATGTGATTGGGAGACGGGTGCCAAGTCACCTCTTTTAGGACTACTACGTATGAACATAAGATTTGCAAGATAATTTAGGATTATAATTTTTCATATACTTCAAAGGAAACATAAAATTAGAAGACAAAAGCCATAAAAAAGACGGAATCAATTACCTTACCCTTCTTGCTCCTCCTCTTTCGTTTTTTCTCTTTCCTTCCTTATTTTCTTTTTATTCTTTTTTTTTCCTCCTTATTTCCTTTTCCTTTCTTTCTTTGTACAAAATTTTGTTACCTTACATTTCTTTTCTTTTCTTCTCCTCCCATCAATACCATTTAATCAATAGATGAATCCCCCTATTTCTCTTCCTAATTTTATGTAAGATTCCAAAATCATCTTCTTTATCTCGTTTTAAAAATATCATGCCATTTTGAAATGTCCACCACTCCTTTTCTATAAATTTAATAAAGAAACTACAGTCTTTGTTAATCTTTTCACGGAAGTAACAGTAAATTTATCACTAGTTATATGAAGAGGAAAATGGTGAAAGATTGATTGTGAAGAGAAAAAGTAGCGAAAGATTGATTGTACTTTAATTGCCATTGTTGTAACTTCCCACTACTTAACATTAATTTATTAATTACTGAAACGGTTCCTCTCTTTTAGAAAGTGGAGGATTTTAAAAGCATAAATGGGAAAAAATAAAGGGAAAAAGCAAAAAGAAAATCTGGAAAAAGATAAATAGCATAGCAATTCTCATCTACCAAACTTGTCACATCAGCTCTATTATTCCCTCGGTTATACATATATATATATATATATATATATATATAGATTGACCACTCCGGCGTCCGGATCTCCAAGTTTGAAAACGGAGGTGCTTATAATTGAAGTACTAATATTTTGACGGCACGCCAAATTTGAAAGCTCTAGTGACAAAGTCCACTATATAACTCAACTCCACACTCCATAGTTACATCAAGAAAATATAGTAAGCAATTAAATCATAGAAAATGGAGGAAACATCAACAGTTTTGGCCCAAGAATTATCAAACCTTCCACGAGAAATCATCTTTGAAATTCTATTGAGATTACCTGTCAAATCCCTCTCGAAATTCAGGTCTGTTTCAAAATCATGGCTTTCTTTACTCTCATCTCCTCTATTCAACAAAACCCATGTCAATTTTTCCTTAAACAACCCCAAAATGTCTGATTATAGACTTGCTGTAGTAGCCTCAGTTTCTAAGTTGGGCAGAATCTGCAATATTTACAACATAGGGTTTGGAAAAGATTCATTTTTTAATGTGGTTAAACATGGTAATCCTGCTAAATATTTATCTCTCTCTGCTAAGATTTTGGGTTCTTGCAATGGGTTAATTTGTTTAACTAGTGATAAATTTACACTAATGCTATTCAACCCATGTACTGGAAATTTTAATGTATTTCCTGATTCGATGCTGAAAGATAATAGTGGTGGTTGTTATGTTAGATATGGATTTGGTTATGATGTATCTAATGAAGATTATAAGGTTGTGAAAATCTTTAGTTTTCCTAAAACTGAGGGAAGATATGAGAACATGGTTAAGGTTTATAGCTTAAAGGCTAAATCTTGGTCAATTATTGAGGGTTTCAATAGTGGTAATATAAATGGAAAGTTGGGTGTGTTTGTTAATGGGGCTCTTCATTGGGAAGCATGTTATAGTTATTGTTCGAGTGATTCTTGGGCGATTGTTACTTTGGATTTGGCTGAAATGAAATATGGGAAAATAGCTTTGCCGAGTTATGAAGATGAAGGTATTTATTGGACCTTAGGTGTTTCAAGAGGGTATTTAGTTGCTTGTTGCAACTATGAACCAAAAAGGGCTGATATATGGGTGATGAAGGAGTATGGTGTCGAGAAATCTTGGACTAAATTGGTTACCATCTCATTACCCCTTGATCGTAGGGATTATGTCTCACCGTTGTTTGTGACAGAGAATGGTGATGAAGTTTTGCTGCAGTTTGGTGCAGAGCTAACACGGTACAATTCAAGGAATGCGTCATTCAAACGACTAGACGATTTCATGTCAGGTGATTTTCGTCAAGTTCAGGTGATAACCTACTTAGAGACTCTTGCTTCACCTCATATTTAGTGACGTGATGATAGGTTAACGGTGAAGGCAAATGAGTTTAAGAGATGGTAAAAGATCTTTCCGATTGCCTGGTGCCTGCTCCTGCTCCTGTTCTCATAGTTATTGATAACATTGTGTCTTGTCATTGTATTTTCTTTGCATTCTTCCTTATCATGTAAGGTGCATGGCCCTTCAGCAACATTGACTGAGAAGTGCTACTGTTATAATGCTCAATTGAAGTTCTATTTTCCCACACAATTCGTATCGTGCACCATGTGGATACAAAATCCTTGAATGCACTAATGTTCAGTGCCATATAGATATGCTTTGGGTAAAAATAGTTGCTTTAATGCATCAATAGACCGTGTACTGACCATCTTCTCCTGAACTTTATGAAAGTTCCTTGAGTAATTCAGTTGAGTATATGTCAAAATCAGATAGTGTTTCTCCTGAACTTTATTAAATAACTATTGGCCTTGTTAGTGTTTCTCTCTTTTCCTCCTTGTATATGAGTTAGTTAAGCACTTCCCATACTGAGACCAATTTCGTCTAAATATCTCAATTGACTGCTGCTCTAAGGTAGTGTAAAGCTCTCTCTCTATTCAAGTGCTGTGTACTAGGGGGGCGGGCATAAAATTCGAAAAACCGAATTCCGAACCGAACCGAACCGAATTAATTTGGTATTTCGGTTTCGGTTTTTTCGGTATTTCGGTTTATTTCGGTACAGAAATTTCGGTATTTTGGTAATTCGGTATGGCATACGGT